CTCTTTAAGATTTCACGTTATATACTCTTTACGATTCTATATTAAATTATTATTTAATAAGCGAAGAATATTATTATAACTTAGTTTATTATTTCTATTATATTAAAAAGTAAGAGAAGAAATTATAATAAATAAATACGAAGAATATTACGAAGAAATTAAGTAATAATAAAATTATTATTATTAAGAATATAGCTTAACTCTTTAAGATCTTATATTATATATTCTCTATGATTTTATATTAAATTATTATTTAATAAGCGAAGAATACTATTATAACTTAGTTTATTATCTCTATTATATTAAGAAGTAAGAAAAGAAATTATAATAGATAAATATAAAGAATATTATTAGTATATATAAAAGAATAAGATAGAGCTAAATTAGAAAATCTTAAATTTATATATATAACTAATTATTAATTTAAGATTATTATATCTTTTAACTAGACTAATTAAATTAGCTCGCTAGCCCTTTTAAGCTTTATTATTAAAAATTTATATATAAAAGTTTTAAACTCTAAAATAATTAGCTCTTTATAAATATTATTTCTTTATAATTTTATAAATTATAGAGCTTAATATATACTTTCTAACGCTATAAAAATAATAAAATTTAATTTATTATTAATAAATTAAATAAATATTTAAATATAATAGTTATAATAGTTATATTAGACGTATTTAAAATCGAATAATAATTCTTTTATCTATTTATATAATTATTCTTTTTTTATAATTCTACTAATTTATTAATTATAAATAAATTCGTCTTCGATATTTCTTATCTAAATATTACTAAGTATTTAAGATATATATTTATTTTATTTATTTTTTAAATCTTTTATTAATAATAATCGAGATCGTAAGCGAGCTTAATAATTATTTACTATTATTTATAAACGCGTTAAAAAACTCTTAAAAAGAGCTTAAACGAATTTATAGTTATTATTTTTCTTTATATACTTCTTTTAAATTAGCGATATTTAATTAATTATTTAATTAATTATTTAATCTAATACTCTATAGAAAAAGAAATAAAAAAAATTATAATAAATTAATATAAAGAATATTATAAAGAAATTAAGTAATAATAAAATTATTATTATTAAGAATACGACTTAGCTATCTAAGATCTTATATTAAAGTATTATTTAATAAATAAAGAATATTATTATAATTTAATCTATTATTCTTATTATATTAATATAATATATTATTATAATAATATTATAAAAGAAGAATTTACTATAATAATAATAGTAATTTAAATCTCTATAAAAGAAATATCGAATAATATATATTTAAATAAATTAAAATTATTCGATATTTATAGCTATTTTATTATTCGAAAGATTTTATTATAATAGAAGTTATTATAAGATTTATATTATTAATTAATATATTATCTTTATTTTAATTAATTAAATCTCTATAAAAGAAATATTAAACGATATATATTTAAATAAATTAAAATTATTTAATATTTATAATTATCTTATTATTCGAAAGATTTTATTATAATAGAAGATATTATAAGATTTATATTATTAATTAATATATTATAAGATTTATATTATTAATTAATATATTATTTTTATTTCTTTTTAAATTTTAATACTTCTTATTATAAGAATATAATCTTTCTCTATTTTTTATAAATAATTATTATAAATTAATTTTTTATACTTAATATATCTTTCTAATTAAATCTTAGCGCGTTTCTCTTTATATATATATATTTATATATTATATAAATTAAATTAATTTTATAATAATAAAAGTAGATTAAAATTATATAATAAGTAATTAGAATTTAATTTAACTTAGAGCTAAAGCTGAAATTCGATTTAACTTAGAAAAATCTAACTCTATAAATTTAATTTATAAATCTTTACTTATAGAGAATATTATAAAGAATATTACGAAGAAACTAAGTAATAATAAAATTATTATCGTTAAGAATATAACTTAGCTCTCTAAGATTTCACGTTATATACTCTTTATAATTTTATATTAAATTATTATTTAATAAGCGAAGAATACTATTATAATTTAATTTATTATCTCTATTATTAATATATATAAAAGAATAAAATAGAATTAAATTAGAAAATCTTAAATTTATATATATAGTTAATTATTAATTTAGAGTTATTATATCTTTTAACTAGACTAATTAAATTAACTCGCTAGCTCTCTTAAATTTTCTTATTAAAAATTTATATATAGAAGTTTTATACTCTAAAATAACTAGTTTTTTATAAATATTATTTCTTTATAATTTCGTAAATTATAAAGCTTAATATACGCTTTCTAACGCTATAAAAATAATAAAGTTTAACTTATTATTAATAAATTAAATAAATATTTAAATATAGTAGTTATAATAATTATATTAGACGCGTTTAAAATTAAATAATAATTCTTTTATCTATTTATATAATTTTTTTTTCTATAATTCTATTAATTTACTAATTATAAATAGATTTATCTTTAAT